TATAATAATATAATAATATAATAATATAATAGTATAATAATATAATACATATACTTTGATATTTTTCATTAATTTATATATTTTATTAACTTATATATTTTATATCGTATTTAAACAAAATATGAAGAAAATCAAACAAACGTATACAGTATAATTGCAGTAATACTGTTCAAAGAGATTGCAACAATTGTCTGAATAAAAATTGCTTATCGTATTTTTTCTGGTCTATTCAATGGTCTGCCGAGTAACGTAGTTTTTTTATTTAATGATAAACGATGATATGAGCAAAATAAAATGATGTATAAAACGTTTGATTTGAACAGGACTAAATTTTGAATAACTGTCATTAATAATTAAACTGCTGATCTTTGTGCAAAATAAAAATTGTCTGCATTAATTGCAAGAAATGGGTATTGGACAGAGACTCATTTCTTCCTTTAATAACTTCGATAAGTTTGCAAACAATGGAACGATATCTCCAAATTCTTGTAAAGTCCGAACAAAGCATGTTTGACACATATCGATTTTCGTCATAAGTGTATAAAGAACTGTGAAAGACGTATATAAGATAGAGGCTGCAACGCGTAAACTAGACAAACCAATTCGTGGAAAACGTGTTGGATTATCTCGCTCCGAACGATAACATTTCGAAGAAACGAATGATGATCGGCGTTTTTGCAGGAGCACCGTACACGGATTCCAGCCAGGTTAAGATATCCGGCTGCGACAAGCCGCCGTGCAAGCTGAAACGAGGGACCAGGGCATGGGTGGAGCAGAAGTTTGTGGCCGGCCACGACACCAGCACCGTAACCAACTCCGTCTTCGCCATGGTGCTCTCCGTGCCGTTGCCGTTCGTCGGCGTCGACGGAACCAGCGCGTGCGAAAGCATCTTCAACGCTGACGGCACCCCCGCCTCGTGCTCGCTCAAGCAGGGCACCGAGTACATTTACAAGCGCGAGTTCGCCATCCTACCAGTCTACCCTACGGTGAGAACTTCCCCCTGTAGCCGCGCGTTCTCCCTATTTCGTTGCCGTAACGTCTCCGTGTCCGATGTCTTCGACACTTCGACTGCCACGCCAACCATCTCGAAAAGTTGCATTAAATGAAACCATTGTATTTAATCGAATTAAAATTGAAAAGTTAGGTCGTATCACCTCGATAACTCCGTCGTTATCGTATGGGTGACATGACAGTCGAAGTGTTAACCGCAGACTTTCATCGCACGACGATTCTAAAAATTCTTCAACAGTTTCGCAAGATATGTTCAAGCATACAGTTCAATGTTGGGAGGTTCAATCACCCAAACCGGGTCAACGCTTCGACTGCCACGTTCTTACATGGCTGACTCAATACTTTTTATCGCACTCGAAACAAATTTATTGTTACCAAAAATTTGCCGAAGTTTAGCCGAATCTACGAGGTGTCAGAGTTGCACCGTAAATGTTGTCGCCTCTTATACTGCATTTTGTGTGACTCGCGTGGCAGTGAACGTGTAAAGGAACCGTGACATTCGCGATTATTTCCCAAGTACAGTAATGTCTCTCTAATTGACGCTCAGATCGTGCAGAAGAACAGAAATGGACAATTTTGGAAGAGGAGATACGATTATTCGAGCCCTGCAATTCGTCGTTATAGTTGTTGACAATTCGTAACGATAACAAATGAACCGCAAGGATCGAATAATCGTATCTCCTCTTCCCAAATTA